TATCTCAGAAACATTGCATTCTCTTCTCCCTCTGTCACACACACACAGTGAGGGGCGTGGCACTGTTACATGTGGTAAACTTTGGAAATGTAAGCAAAATGAAAATTCTCATGTTTTTATTAACGAAATATTCTCTTTATTCCATATTTGTTGGCCTTTAGTTTTTCAGAAAGTGTTTAACCTCACACACCTGTATTAACAGGGCGGTTTACAAGCATCTAACACAGGGGTCTCAAACTCCCGGCCCGCCACGTCATTTTATGTGGCCCGCGAATCCGCCAGCAAAAAAAAAGTATATTTTTTTCTTTTCTTTTAAGTTAGACTTGATAATAAAAATGTCCCCATAGTCAAAATGATGAGATACTTAAACACAGTCACAGAAGCAGCTCTTTGGCTGGTTACCCTACATGTGACATGGAAATGTATTGTGAGTACATTGAAGACTACTTTAAACGTGTCTTTACAACACATGAAATACTTCACGTGGGATTGTGCAAACGCACCCTTGAAAGGATTTTAAGCATTGAACAAAGTTATTGTAATAACTTGTTTGATATTTGTCTTTGATATTGTCGTTAATAGTTTGATCTTTGATAGAGTAATGTGGGTTTATTAACCCCAAATTAAAAGGATTTAAGTTATAATCACAGAAATGTTCTTAAATATATTTTTACATTTATATAACTGCATGTACAATATATTTACACTTGAATAAACAATAATCAAAATGCAGAGACAGTTATTTAACAATATGTTAGGAGTAGTTACATTTACAACCGGCCCTTTGTGGGCGACCATGATGCTGATGTGGCCCGGAGTGAAAATGAGTTTGAGACCCCTGATCTAACGGCTCCACAAATTACATTTATATAACTACAATAAGACATATTTCCCATATTTTTTTAGGGTAATCGTGTCATAAAATATGAAGACATTAAAAGCGTCATTCAACAATCTCAATAGAACTTTCACATATAGAAAGACGGCCCTAGTCTGCTGCTGTGTATTGAGACTGTGAGCCTCCTGAGTTTGCTTATGATTAACAAAACACTGCTTCCTTAATTCTCGACTGAAAGAGGCAGAAAAAACCTTGCAAATATTCTCCAAAACATGCCAAATCTCTGAGATGAGTTGCACTGGACAGCGTGTGACAACACTGATACTGATTTGACTTCTTTCCCACAGAATCTGCTCCAACATCTTTTGAAGGCAACTATGGTCGCATCGTTTACAGAGTGAGAGCTTTTATTGAAACGCCGCGATTTGGCAAAGACTACAACACGGAGAAAGCTTTCTACCTCCTGAGACTCCACAACCTGAATGAAGTGCCAGACATATGGGTGAGACGTGCTGAGATGTGTGTGTGGTCAATCTGTGACTGCTTAGACTGGTCTCATCTTCAGAGTTCAACAACACACCACCAACATTGTTGCAAAGGAACTCCTGACTCAAGTCCCAAGTCAAGACCAACCAACAAGTCTCAAGTCCTGAATAAGTCTTTATGCACTCTTTGTATGAATACATATTAAACAGAGCAGCAGCTACTAGTTCAGCAGCACTGTCAAACGCACCTTTCTCCACTGCTCGCACAGCTGCTACTGTCGGAGTAATTCAAAAATCATCCATCGCTGCAAAATAACATCAACATGATAGTGTTTCTACTGCTTCTAGTTTTCATTCTAAGCTGTGATAACCATGTCTTGACTCCAGCTCTGTAATTAACACCCTCATGAGACTGATCTCTATCTATCTCGTCATCCACCTCGTAATAGAACGAGCAGATAAAACCACTGAGCGAATGTGAATGTTGCTTTTGCGAACGTGTATCGATGTGAGATGTCTTTGTGTTGTGTCGCTGCCCTTCTCCATGCAGGGAACCTGTTCATCTGAAGTGAAGCAGGAGTTCTCCTACATGCTGCTGAAAACAGGCACGGTGGTCCTGAAGGCCCAGTCCAACATGAAGGGTTACACACCAGGCCAGATCATCCAGGTGTTGGTCAACATCCACAACCAATCGGGGAAGACCACAGGCAACATGGCCGCCAGCCTCATGCAGGTAAACACTTTAGTTCTGGCTCAACCTGCGAGGAGAAGGTCCTATTCAGGCTTCTGGACCCACAATTACTGTATCAAAGAACTACCTCCAGATAGTACTAATCCAGATCTCCCAATATAGGCAAGTATACAATATGTTACACTTATTTGTAATGTATTGAACTTGTGATTTGATTGGTTTTATCTTCATCTTTTTCTGTTGCTGATTTCTCTATTTTCGTGGTGTACTCTGTGGTGTACTCTGTGGTGTACTCCGTGGTGTACTCTGTGGTGTACTCTGTGGTGTACTCCGTGGTGTACTTCTTTACCTTCTGAAACGTATATGAGCTACTGTGACATATCAAGATTAAATTGCACTAATCAATATGTTGATATTACCGATGGATCAATAGACCACGTTTAATATGAATGAAACCCAGAAAGAATTAACACCAACTTTATAAGGTGATTATGTGTCAAATCGTTTAATAGATTGAAATTAAGAGTTTTAGTACAAATGCAGAAAGCGTTGAATAACTGAGTCTTCAGACAGCAGATGGTGTCCTGTCCTGTCTGTCCCTTGGTCCCCAGTCACTGTACTCTTCATGTCCACCTGTGCTTTCAGAGAGTCACCTATGAGATGAAGAGGCCCACCCATGATGTGAGGGCGATAGCGGAGGTGGAGGGGGGGGTGGTAAAGGCTGGCAAGGAGCTGGAGTGGAAGGAGCAGATCATCGTTCCTCCTCTTCCTCAGTCCTCCCTGGCTGGCTGTGATCTCATAAAGATTGAATATTATGTCAAAGTAAGATATGTTCATCCTCTGTCACGCTTTCAGCACTCTTTTCTTGAGAAGTGGTCCCGGTTACATATTTCTGTTCTCGTTCCCAGGCCCCCCTCGGTGTCTGATCCCGACGCACAGGGCACCCTTTAGTGTCTGCATGAGGCACACCCGGCTTTCAAATAACTACAATGTGAACCTGTTTGTCATTATTAGACATGCAGAGAGAATACTCTGGGAGCTTAGTGACATGGTGAATGTAGTTTACTGTCACCGTGTGCTGGGCTGCCCAGTGCGTTAGAAATGAACGTTAAATAATCAGACAAATCGTGAAAATGGGACGAGTTGGGATGAGAACGTGTTGCAGGTTTTTGACTGTTAGACAAACAGTCGGTCATCTGAGATGAAAAACACTACCGCAAACATGGTCAAACAACGAAACTAAAAAGAAAAACTGAATTAGTAATCCATCAACATTGACATTTTTTTAACTACAACAAGGCAATTCAAACTTCACAGCAAGCACATGTTATAAACACCAACGCTCACAATCCCAGACGGACGTTCAGAACAATAGATTCTCTGGTAAACACAACAATGAACCACAGTATCACGCTTCAGCTTCTAAATGACTAAACTGCTGTGAAAGACAGGACACGTAAACATTTAACAGCCAGCAGTTTAGACGGATTTCAAATCTCACATTTTGAAGAGAAACTGTTTATTAATTAACATATTACTTAAACACTCAATCTGAAATGTTCAAACCAGGTTCCAGGACTGGTCACAGCACAGACAGCCTCACTAACTAGTGGATGATATGAATCTGGACCCAAACAAGCCTTCAGATCGCTGCTTCTTGACCCATGTGCTACATCTGATACGGTGGAACACCACATTCTTTTAAATTGATGATGTGAGCATGTTGGCCTGTCCCACTTGTTCTTCACTTATTAACCACATAACTTCGTCAGTCCCTTTCTTTATATCGTCACAATGGAACCTGACTGCCAGGCCGAGATTATTTCTGTAACACTTCTAACATGGTGCAAGTCTGAAGTGAATGAATTACATCTCAATGAATGTAGAGATAATCTATACCCAGACCGATTGAACTCACTTCTTGTTTTCGCCTAATGAAAGAAAGTAATACATTTGTACAAGTATTTTAATGTGTTCTCCGTGTATTTGAGGATTGATTTACACGAGGGGGTCGTTGGATATGCTTCTATGGCTGATGAAGCCTGTGAGAGAACAGAAAACAAGCTTCTTCCTTCATGTCATTAACTTTTCAACCGCTCCATCTAAGCTGCCAAATATCATGCAGCAACTGTTCTCTTTGAAACAATCATGTCTGAATGAGAAGAAAGCTGATGGAAGATGCAGTGATTCCATGTCTGAGAGGGCTTAAGTTTGACATTCTATCTGTAGAATCTATAGAACACAGGACAAGTATCAAGTCAGTACAATATCTGTTAGATGTCTGTTGCAACTCTGTGAAGTTTTTCTTTTTTAATAAATTTGCAAAAACTTCTACATTTCTGTTTTTTTCTGTCAAGATGGGGTGCTGAGTGTACATTAATGAGAAATAAAATGAACTTTTTTGATTTTAGCAAATGGCTGCAATGAAACAAAGAGTGAAAAATTTAAAGGGGTCTGAGTACTTTCCGTACCCACTGTATACAGTACAGACTGTTTGTGCATTTTGAGTTTTGTTTTCTAAAGAACGAGGATCAAACGGAAGAGTATGTTGTGGGTTCACATTCTGTATTCCTCCAGGAAACCTAACGTTCTCTTGTCCTCTCATTACTCAGGTCAGTCTCAAGTCTCCAGACGTCCTGTTGACGTTACCCATCCACATCGGGAACGTCTCGCTAGACAAAAAGCTGCACCCGTCCAAAAGAGCAGCTCCTCCCTCCTCTGCTGCAGCTGAAGACGCACAAGCATCTGCCTCTACCCCGAGCACCTCCACCTCCACCCCCACTCTGCCCCCTCGCCATGCCCCAAAGCCTGCTCCTCGTCCCACCCCTCGCTCCAGGATGTCTTCTCATAATCCCCCCAGCGCTCCTCCAGCTGAGTACCACCAGGGAGCAGAGGGCGGGACTCAAACAAACGACGGCTTCCCCAACAAGCGCCAGTCTCAGCTGGTGTCACCCAATGCTTTCAGCTATGCTCCCGGCCTCTTTTTCCCCCAGAACCAGCAGCACAATGGGCCCGGCCCTGCACCCAGTGGGCCGCCAGGAGCCACAGCACCGTACCCCCCTGAGAACGCTGCTAGCTCAATGCCAACACCGCTCATCCTGCCTCCCGACTACGGCACCTCTGCTTATCCACAAGGTCAGTTGGCAGCTGTCTCTCTGCACCGTCCAGGCTGCTCGGTGTAGACTGGATACGGTTGTTTGTAAGGAAGAACAAAGCTGTAACTTAGGACGGAGTTTAACACTTACTCATCATATTTAAGGCACATGGTGCTACTGGGATAAACCGCTCCAGTTCAGCTGTGTAAAAGAAAACATCAAAAAACTAATTAAGTTATTGGATAAAGTGTGTCACTGTTCCTACAAGATTCAACTAGTACAAGTTCTACATTTAGGGTAAAATGAGAAGTAAACGGACCCCAGAGTGACGTGTTTACAGATCATTATATCTCAGCCAGACTCCATACGATCCACTACAACAGCTCTGCCATGAACTCAACCTCTACAAAGCTCACAATGGGGTAGATAAAACAATACACCTGTCAACATAACAGCGGTAGAATCTGAGTCCGGCTGTAATGGATCCATTAGACTCTTTGGCTCACCTTATACAGTGACGGAGTGTTAACTCCAGAGAGCCTTTGTGCCTTTGTGCACCGCTGCAGTTCTGAGGAATGTGAGGCAGCTCTGCTGTTATGGATTCAGTGATATTCTGATATAATGATTGTAAAGTGCTTTGGATGAACTCGCTACAGGATATACATGCAGCGGCCATGGCTCATGAGGGAGGGGGTGTACCGGTCCGTCTGATATGCTTAGGATGGGTAAAGTGCATACATGTTCTATAACATGACGATTGGAATAAAGTAAAAGTTGAATCCATTTCATTCTCACAGCTGCGGTAGACGACTGAAGCCTGAAGTCTTAAGACCATATAGTATAGTATATAACTTTTAACTTTATATAATGGGCTAAGCTCCAGAAACACTATTTCCTATATTTCCAATATTTCCACAATATAAGTCAATAACCTTTTATTAGACATTTCAGTATAAAATGGGCCTCATCAGGCTCTCTGACTTAGATTACTTTAACTGTGTTCCACAGTCATTCTTCACTGATGTCAGTCCAGATAAGACGAGTCAAGAGTTCACCAAAATGCTGATGTATTATGGATTAATTTGCTCTGGGTTTTGCCTGTCAGGCTACATACAGGTTGCCCGACCAGATTGATGAAGGTTGTTTGGGCTTCAATCAAACTTTCTCGTTCTACAGGCTGGGGCCACAGTGGCTAAATAGGGCCCTGCTGTGGGTCTTAGACCAGACCCTAGGAACTACTAAGAGGCCACTACCAGAGGACCTGAGGGATCTAGTGGGTACATACCTGAAAGCATGTCGGACAAGTAGACGAGGTCCAGACCATTTAGTGATTAGTAGACTGACAAAACAACCTTAAAATCTATTCTAGACCAACATTAATATTACTCAGTGCTGGGGAAACAATTGCCAGTTTATTTTTGGGTGAAGGAAAAACATTTTATATTTCTGTTTCCAGTTAATGTTCTCCTAAAAACATTAGACGACCATCAGCTAAAGACGGGAGAGTAAACACAGAGGGCCTGGTAGTAAAGACACGTCATTCAGGAGGTGCCTCTCACATGTGGAATATGTAACATGTAACGGTGTTTGTGTAATAACCAGCTGATGATGACTGTCTGTTACAGAGGCTCCTCCTTCTTATGATGAGAGCTACAACACATGAAGTGGATGAAGAACCAGCAACCCCCCCCCCCCCCCCAGCATGACACCACGTCACTCTGATAGCCAACATAGTGCTGTCCTGCACCTTTAAGAGGTTCTAACTTACTTTGACAAAACTATTACAATACATGAATTTTAATGTAACCTGGTGTGATGAGGTTCATTTAGGTTGAAGTCTCTAAATGTAAGAGACTCAGCATTTTGAAATGAAAGTGTATTGACCTGGAGTGAACCATCCCTTCACTTCTCTCCTTCAAACCTGCCGCAGCCAATCAGCTGTCTGTCTACTGCTGGTATACTTTTATACTTTCAGCACTTTGAGTGAAAGGAAATCATTTGTAATTGACTTTATTTCTTTGTACAGCAACAGGACTCCTGTTTTTAGTTGTGGGTTATTTAGTAATCACTTAGATGACATCTGTGATGTTAAGTTTGAACATTTTATGAATGAAAACTTGTGTAAGAGAAACCGATCTCGTCTTAAGTTTAAGTCTGAAGTCTTATATATATTTTTAGAAGCCATATTGCTTTCTGGAAGCATCTCTATTCTTCTGGTGAATTTTTCATTTATTTTGAGTTGAATATTAAAGACCTTTTTGATATGGCTTTGATCGGAGTTTTTAATGTTATGGTGATAATGAACAATCCAGATATTGCGACATATATATTTTTGTAAGGATATAATGCATGATCCCGTTTAGCCTCTGAAGAGTTCTGCCATGTTTGATCCTCTGTTCGCTTCGTGTCCTTGAACTGTGTGTAAAGACAGAATGATGCTCGTGTGTTCTTCTTCCTGCTGAATGTGTGTTGGCTCTGCAGATACCAGACATTCCCTCTCTGTCTGCTCTCCTTTAATAGTCAACAGAAGTCCTTCATCACTCTGATTTGAGCTTTTCTTTGGCAATTCTTGATGTCATTTGCAAAATGTCTTGATCAAGTTAAATCCATCAAACATGCAGAATGGCAACGTTTTAATTATTTATTATTGTTTTGAGTGTTTTCTAACTGCTATCTGGAATACAATAAATCTGTTCAAATCACTTGTGTCAACCAGTGTGTCGTATTTCTGACTGGCAGTAAGAGGTTGTTTCATTAACACACGATTCTGCCTTCTGATGCTGTTTAAGTTGACACACTTGTGTTTTTAAAGGGATGTAACTTAAAAGTATGTTTTTCCATAGATATGTATTTCAGGTACAACTCCTTTCAATTTACAGGACAACTTTTTTTTTTTTTTTTCTTAATTGTATTTAATGTATGCCTGTTCCAACTTTAGTATACAGTAAAGGAAGTACACCAAAAGATAAAAAAGGATGCATCACAAATATATTTAGTGCTTAGATATGCACCATTACTTCATTCAAGACAACGTTTAAAAGTTTATAGGTTGTTAAAAGCAATATATTTCTTTTAGATTCCAATGATTGTATACAAATATTGTACAGTATATTATCACTTGCTAGCAAAGAGTGGAACATTGAGACCTCAAACGTATATATTCAATATTAATTTAATATTTTGATAATAGTTTTTTTCATTTATGCCCAAAATAAATCCTGTGACCGAGGGTTTATGTTGCGCTTATGCTTTAGGATAATAACACAATAATAAACACGGGGCTCCGCATTCTGCGCCAAGATGGCAGCAACTTTATTCACTTCTCAGAACCTCTTTCGTCTTGAACTCTTTCCGTCTCATCCTCCACAATAAAAGCACCACAAACATACACTGGAGCACTGCTACATGGAGAGCTCTTAACGTACTCGACATATAGCTTACACTATAAATAAGTTGTGCCAAATCATCAACTGGCGACTAGAGCGCTCACTGTTTCAAACTTCCGGTTTCGCTTTGATCCAATTTTTTTTAACCCGCGAAAAAAACTTTTATCGTATCGTCCATCTCAATACATTCAAGATGTATATATAAACTACGATGGTGGGCGTTGTCCTCGTTGCAGACAGTCGCGTTTCCTACAGTTAGCTTTCTGGTGAAGTCTTTCCGAATCCACGAGGACATGAACGCAGAGCACACAGCGCATCACGTGCTTGAGCGGAAGTGAAAGCTGGTGTCTTCCTGTCCCGTCCCATGGTCCCGTCCCTTGCTCTACACCTTCGCTCGGATATCGCTGCACCGACTGGAGCTGGTAGGATGAAACTCTGCTGCTTTAACTTTTCTGCTGCCGCCTCGTTGAAACTCTCGGTGCTGTTTGTCAGCTGTTGACGCCTCATACGAGTCCCCGCTTCCACCGGTCCGCCGGGCTGAGCGCTTCCACAGTTAAGCCAGTGCCAAGCACATATGTGATAACTTTGTTCTCGGTGCACTCTGCATTGCTGCGTGTTGAATGGTGCAAAGATGCACGTACTGTCTGCACTTTATGGTGACGACAGAGCTGCCCGGAGCGCTTTTAACTTTGAGCGTGTTTGTTTTGGAGAATGTAGTCAAACTTGTTGAAACTTCTCAGGTGCTGCTGTGCTGAGGCCCCCTCAGTCTGACCGGCTTCAACGAGCAGCCCCCCAGGACGGCGATGGATTCCAGTGGAGCCGGTGAGCCGCCTGGACGAGGCAGAAGACCCTCCAGTCACTCATGCGGGACACCCGTTGCTGCCAAGGCGCAGGCAGCACAGAGCGGCCAGGGGCCACAAGTAAAGATCACTCCCTTCCACAGCTCCGCCATACTCCACAGGGATGATGCTGTCCGCAACAAACGACCAGGAGCCGCTTCTGGGAGACTGATGGCGACTCCTGGCAGCCGCTTTCTCGACACACTCGGACGGCTGACTGGTCCGCATGTCAGAGGGAGACTCTCCGCTGCTGGGAGCTCCGAGGAACCAGCTCCCAGTGCAGGCTCCGTGCTGGCCTCAGCAGGAGGAAAAGCACGAGTAAGTGGTCTTGTTGTCGAGGTGAAATGATTTACTGATGAGCCTGAAGCAATGTCATGTGAAATGTTTCCAAAATATATGAATATTGTATATATTGTATATATATTTTTCCGACAGTCTGTTCTTTCATTTAGCTTGTTTGTCATTTAATTGCAGACCCACCTGCTGTTAACCCTTTATTCTGACAGAATCATGTTCCAGAAGTCAAAATATGCATAAGTCCCCTAAACCGTGCAAACACTTAATCATCTGAGGACAGAGTGTTATTACGCAGAGTGCATGGGTTGCAAAAGTTCAGACTCATTGATAGAGGTCGACTCGTTTTGGTTTGTAATTCTTTATCGTTAGATGCTATATTATGCAGAATTGAATTAACTTTGGCTGTTTGCATGTCAAATAGTGGGAATGTATTTGACATGCAACATTTGTATATATTGAAATAGTCAGTGTTGGCTGCACATAATAATTTAACCCTTCATATTAATATAGATATGGTTTTAAATCACTTTAAATGTAATAACTGGTTCAGGCTTGCCTTCTGTTTTTTCATCTATTGAATAGGTGATTAAGTATACACAAAAATCACAATTCTGATCAATAAACATGCCTTTATTGTCGTGGCATAGTCGTGTTGGACCTAAAACATAAATCTGACATGTTTCAGCATCAGCTGTTTGTCGGGCAGTGAGACAGATGTGTTGTTCCTCCGGTAGGAAACATGTGGTTGTGCCCTAGAGAGGGTACATCAGTGACTCTTGTCTTCATTTTGCCTCCAAAGCCTCCTGCCAGGAAGGCACCAAAGTCGAGCACAGAGCTTCGTCACAGAGCCGTCTCCACCTCCATCAAGCCTCAGTCCGGTTAGTCGCTCGTTCCTTTGCAAGCTTTATTGATTTGAATCTAACTGGAAGGTAGGCTACCCGACCCAAACGTGAATGTTTTTACAATTTAATATGATATTTCATCAGCTGCAGTTATCAAAATGTCTCAGCGGGATCAGTAATTACGAATGTTTCAATACATCATCTTCCCATTTGATAATGTAAGGGGAGAGGAGTAAAACAGTGCCCTTCTTTAAACGTCCATTATTATTATTATTATTATTATTATTATTATTATTATTATTATTATAATAA